ACACACACACACACACACACACACACACACACATATATATATATATATATATATATATACACACACATAATCTTGAATGTTTTATTCTCGATCACCTTATTAGTGCTTTGCTCGAATACTTCATCAGTGGATCAATTGAAAATTTAATAACACATTTAAAAATAAAGTGTATAGTTCCATAAATTATAGTGCTATATTAATACTTAAGTTTTAGCTACAACAACATATGTATACTTATATTAATATAACATATGTGTCACGAGCCGATCGTTTTCCGGATGTCAACGGCATTAAATAACCTGTGCGGCGCCTATAGTCACCCCGCACTACATGCCAGCCTGTCATCTTTCCCAAGTTTTCTAACATGATCCTTAGCATGTGGTGAAGCTTGCCTAGGAGGCTTACTTCAACTGCGTCGTCCGTGTGATGTCTAGGCTTATAGCCTCGACTAGTTGTAGCATTTCTCATCTACTGTATTTCATCAATGCACACACCCGGGGTTGGCTAAGGACATGTCCGTACCTTGCCTGACACTGAGCATCACTCTCGCGTGCACAGTCCAATCCTCAAGCTTGACACTTGCCTCGTGCATCCACACCCAGCTTGTGCTTCGCCCGACTAAAGAAACCTTTAGTCCTTGGCCTTTGTCATGTGCGTCTTTCATAGCATGACTATGGTTGTCCTATGGCATGGCCAAACATAGCCCTTGGGACATACTTCCATCGCCCATAGTGCAGTGTCGACCCACAACTGCACGTCTAAGACAACAGACCCTTGCTCACATAGATGAACCCAAGTGATGCTCACAAGTCGACACATGAGTCCCCTAAGATACCTAAGATAGGTGCTTCAAGTATCCAATCGGTACAAAGGTCTTTATCCACAATTTCGGTAGCCTATAGGGCATAATAGTCCCACATGTCTAGCCTCTGGCATCCGTTGTGTGCCCAACGCTAGTCCTAAGGCGTTGTATCGTCCATAGAGTTCCCAAGCTCGTATGAATACCTAAGATACTCCTTTGAGATGTCCAAGCAGGCCCTTGAGGTTCCCCCTCAAGGTGGCTCACTTGGTGCGGCTTTGTGGCAGCATGCACGGGGGAGGCTGGCTGAGCTTCAACACCTCTGCCCCTCTTATATTGCTTAAAATAAAAAAGCCTAAGATTGCCGAGTAGACATGTTTTGGAAAAAGTTATAGCCTTCGGACACTTCAGCAAATTACGACATTGCCAGTACCCTTGGCGAAGTCAAGTCTTTAGGAAAACGAACTTCAAATGATGCCAAACTTGGTCAACATATATAAGAGCATACAAGGAACAAGTCCTACTACCGAAATCCCTAGATTCCCCTCCTAGATCAGAAATGTATGGTCGTGACATTCAAGCACGTACGCAGCCGTCGCCCGCAGGCTAGACCCTTGGTTTCATCCAAAGTCCTCGCTAAAATCTCTTTGCACTCTTAGGACATGTAACACAACCTTTATAGATGGTTTTTAACTCATGCATAGCCCATCAGTCAGATGCTCCTTCACTACACATCATCAGCACACGTCGCCTACGGGACTGACACTCGTCATGCCGCCCTGTAGCGCGCAGTACTATGGATGCCAAGAACCCCCAAAACGCGGGGTGTAGCATCCTCCAACACTCAACATGTCATCATCCTTGATGACACAACAATGCCCACGATAGCCCAGCGTCTTCCCCCTCAGGGATGTACATCACAATCCCTTAATCTTGTGGATCGGACTTCCTCAAAGTCCGTCTCAGAATGGAGTCATGCCCCGTGCACTTCTCCCCCAAGTATCTTCCAAGAGTGCCTCTGCACTTCACATCCTTTAGGTGTTCGCTCAAAAAGTGCCTCCGCACTTGCACCCTCCGGTGTCTAACTTTGTGGTGACGCACACTAGTCAACCACACCATGAGCCTCATGGCCTTCATATCATCCGAAGGTCTTCCCTCAGTGGTAAGCACATTATAGTAATCCTTGGCGCAGCTCCCGTAGTTCAACAACTCGCATAGCCCTTGCTTTTGTGGCTTAACAACACACAAATCCCTTTCGCGCCCTTTGGCATAGCTCTAGTAGCTCAATCACTCACGTAGCCCTTTTCCTCACCCTCATTACCTTGGAAGACTCTCTTGCTTCAGAACTCACAGTTTTGCCCCAATGCCCCTATATAGGCAGATCCTCCCACACTCAATGTGGAGGGTACTTGTCAATGATTCTATCCCACTTGGAATACTAGCCCTACCTCCGGAAACTCATGCTGCAACATGGAACCTTCGGCAACTCAACTGCTTCATATACTTCGGTACTCATCAAGCTTTGGGGACGTACTCCTGGTGTGTTCTACATTCTCAAAGGTATAACATCTACACATTCAAGAACAATTCTCGTTGTTTTCCAACAATCACTTCCTTAGCAAGTACCCAATGCTCCCGGTAGTACCTTTGTACTTGCCCAATAGATAAGAACCTTTATGTTCCTTCTAGCATGGCTTCCCGGTTCGGTGTGCCTCGCAGATGGCCCCAACTCCGTGGTCCCCGATCATTCAAGTACCCTTTTCCAGAATGACACACAATTTTGTGGCTGAAGCAAAGGCTAAGTCACTTGGCCTTGCGTTTGGTCCTAGCAGTTCTTTGTTGAAAACAGTCAATGCCGACCTTACCAACGTGAATGGAGTTGCCCGCAATGTGTAACTCAACTTAGGTGCTTGGCAGGAAAGTGTGAATTTCTTTGTTGCTCCCATGGATGTGTTTGATCTTGTGTTGGGTTTGGACTATTGGGATGAAGTCATTTCCTTCATTTCCCCCAACCTTAACCAAATTTATATTTGGGATCCGAGGGCTCCTTGTGTGGTACCAAGAGTTTGGGTGCCGTAAGTCGTTGGCCAATTGTCCGTGATGTATATCGTGAAAGGCTTCCAGAGGAGTGAAACCACATTTCTAGCTGTTGTAATAGAGATTGAAGAGGACATGGTTGACGAAGCCTTGCCCCCATGTTTGTAGCAGGTTCTTGATGAGAACAAGGATTTCATATTCGGAGATCTTCCCAAACATTTGACACCACGTAGGGAAGTAGATCATCAGATTGAGCTGATTCTGGGAGCAAAGCCACCTGTCGTGGGTCCGTATCGCATGGCACCTCCATAACTGGAGGAATTGAGAAAACAACTTAAAGAGTTTCTTGAGACGGGACATGTCAGACCGTCAAGGCTCTATTTGGTGCACCAGTCTTGTTCGAAAAGAAACAAGATGGGTCATTGCGGATTAACATAGACTATCATGCTCTCAACAAAGTCACGGTAAAGACTAAATATCCAATCCCTTTGATAGCAGATTTACTTGATCGTCATGGCCAGGCCAAGGTGTTTAGTTAAATGGATTTGAGGAAAGGATATTATCAGGTTCGCATAGCCGAAGGTGATGAACCAAAGACGACTTGCGTGGTGTGTTACAAGGCTTTTGAATGGTTGGTAATGCCGTTAGGCTGGACCAACATCCCCGCTGCATTCTGCACTTTGATGAACAAGATGCTCCATCCATTTTTCAATCAGTTTGTAGTCATCTATCTTGATGACATTGTGATTTACAGCACCTGCATGGAGGAACAACTTGATCACCTCCGCAAAGTTTTCCAAGTTCTAAGGGAAAATGACCTGTTCGTGGAGAAGGAGAAATGTTCTTTTGCCCAGCACCAAGTGTAATTCTTGGGGATACAATCAACCAAGGACAGATTCGGATGGATAGCAACAAGGTCGCGGCAATTAGAGATTGGGAGGCCCCAATGAAGGTAACCGAGTTGCGGTATGTTTTTGGCCTTGCCAATTATTACCGGCGATTCATTCTTGGGTATTCAGCAATTGTGGCTCCGCTCACAGATTTGCTGAAGAAGGATCACTCCTGGGAGTGGACTGATTTGTGTCGAGGGGCATCCGAGGGTCTCAAGTCAGCAATTACGGAAGAGTCTGTCTTGGCTCTACTCAACTTTTCCAAAGTCTTTGAGATCCACACAGATGCATCTGATTTTGCTATTAGAGGCGTCTAAATGCAAGAGGGCCATCCAATAGCTTTTGAGAGAAGAAAATTGAATGATGCAGAGTGTTGTTACACTGTCGAAGAGAAGGTGATGATGGAAATGGTTCATTGTTTAAGAACCTGGCGTCATTATTTGTTGGGGGCTCATTTCATTGTCAAAACGGATAACGTGACGACAAGTTATTTCCAATCCTAGAAGAAATTACCACCTAAGCAAGTAAGGTGGCAGGACTTTTTGGCGAAGTTTGATTATTACTTGGAGTACAAACTGGGGAAAGCCAATATTGTAGCCGACGTAGTGAGTCGGAGGGTACTGCTAGCACCAATTGTTAGCATGACCAACAGTGATATTATTGATGCAATCAAGCAAGGGATTCAGCATGATCCGGTGGCGAAGCAACTTTTTTACTTGGTCAGCCAAGTCAAGAGAAAGATATTTTGGGTGGAAGATGGGCTTCTTTATTCCATTGGTAGGTGTATCTTCGTGCCTAAATGGGGAAACCTTAGGCGCACATTAATTAAATAAAGGTAGGACACTGTTTGGGCAGGACACAGAGGCTAAAAGTGCACCTTGGCGCTGTTAGAGTCATCATATTATTGGTCGCATATGAGGGATGATATTGAAGTCTACGTCCGAACCTGTCTTGTGTGCTAACAAGACAAAGTTGAGCACAAGGTACTGGGAGGCTTTCTTGAGCCTTTACCAATGGCGGAAAGGCCATAGGATAACGTCACAATGGACTTCATTATGTGTTTTCCAAATTCAGAGGGCTTTGGCACAATCATGGTGGTGGTTGATCGATTCTCAAAGTACGCAACCTTTACTTCCACCACCACCAATCGCAAAGCCAAGGAAGTAGCACACTTGTTCTAAAGGGACGTGGTAAAGACTTGATTTATTCCAAAACACATTATAAGTGATCGTGATCCCCCTTTCACGGGTACTTTTGGAGAGAGTTGTTCAATCTGTTGGGGTCGGAGTTGCACTTCTCCACCAGTTTATATCCACAAATGGATGGTCAAACAGAAAGGTTCAATGCGCTCTTGGAGCTGTACTTGAGACACTTTGTTAGTGCAAGCCAAAAGGACTAGGCAAAGCTACTTGACACTGCCCAGTTCTTATATAATTTGCAGCATAGTGATCAACCAGGAGGAGCCATTTCGAACTTGCAATGAGGCAGAAACCTAACACACCCCAGTCTTTGCACTTAAGTGCAAATTTAAAAAACCCAAGGGCATTTAATATGTCTAAATCTTGGAGGAGCAGGTAGACATGGCAAGGTCTTATTTAGACAAAGTTGCCTGAAAGATGAAAACTTTGCTGATCGGAAGCAGCATTCGGTGTACTACAGAATCGGGGATAAGGTAATAGTAAAGTTCAATCCCTGGCAATTCAAATATTTGATAGGCGTCAAACAAAGTCTGATTCGGCGTTACGAGAGTCCATTTGAAATCACTGCCAAGGTTGGCAAGATTTCGGTTAGAATGGACATGCCTCATTATTTGAAGATTTACCCTGTCTTTCATTCTAACCAGCTCAACCCCTACCATGAAGACAATAAAGATGTTGAGCGCGGGCAATCCAGCCGCTCAAATTTTCATACCCCCTTTAGCCATTAACAAGAAAGGCGAGGCCATTATCGACCACCAATTGTTCTGAGGCAAAGGTTGGGGAAATTAAAGTGCTTAATTTCTTGTCCATTAGAAGGGGCAATCACCCGAGGAGGCATCATGATAGAAATATGAAGATTATGGAAGTTCAAAGATCAAGTTCATGATTACATGAAGCTCTGTGGCACAACGGTCGTCGCCATTTCAAGTGAGGGAGAGTGTGCCGCCCCGCCAAGTTCGCTACTGATTTTCCCCCTTAATGTGCCTTAATTCGATTCAAACATGGCTGCCAAGGTTCATGGAGACTTTTCATGCAACATGTCAACACTTGGGAGGGTCAAAGACAAGCATGCAAGCCATTTAATGCAAGCAAGTACTAGTTCCACAAAGCTGGGCGTGACACTGCCCCAAAACATGTCCATGAAAGGGACAGCCCTGCAAAGACAAAGCAAACAAGCCTATTTTAGGCAAGGGCAGGACTGGCGCCGAACAACCCTTTCCCCATATAGTTAGGTAGATTTAGAGAATGTTTCTTTGTAGTTTAGGCCAACTAGTGGCTGGATAGAATATATACACATGTATAAGCCTTAGAGAAGGCATCTCATACACTTTGTAATTTCCGTTGTATCAAGTAAATTCAGAAAATTGGTCTTGAAACTTTGTGTGCCTTTTACTTCACTATTTTTCCAGCATTCGTGTATGTGTTTGCCTTAGCTTGAGGATGACATTCTGCTTGTTTCTTAGTTAGGACTGAAGCTTGGAGCATCATATAGGTTGTCCAGTTGTCCACACGTCGCTTACTTGAGTTAAGCCTATGAAAATATGTTAATATAGCATTAATAGGTATACATATGTTGTTGTTGCTACAACATAAGTATTAATATAGCTATATTAATATAGCAACAACATATGTATACTTATATTAATATAGTATATGTTAATATAGCATTAATATGTATACGTATGTTACTGTTGCCACAAGGCTAATGTGGAGGACTACACTCCGAGCATGCCACCGAATGAGCAAGGCGTGCGACCACATAAGATGAAGAAGCGCAGAAGATATGGTTGGATATTATCGGTGCACCTGAAAAAGGGATAGCACACGACCTTCCATAGAAATTATTTTGGCGCTACAAGGCTAGTTTTCAAGGTGTAGGGGCTTCTGCCTAGGGCGAAGCAATTGATAGGTCGACTCTCTCGTCTAAGGAGAAGAAGATTTCAAAGCTGACCATAGAGCTTGAAGAGACAAAGGCTAGAGAACAAAAGAGAAATAAACAATTAGATACCCTTCAAGTTCAGCTAGAAAAGGGGGACCAACAATTTAATATCCTTCAAGGTCAGCTAGCCAATCTTCTTGCTAGTGGTGCTTTCCCGATTCCCAGGTCTCGTGATAGTGTTTTGTAAATATAGTTTTGATAGTTGTTATTGTTGTTGTTATTATTGTTATTGTTGTTATTATTGTTGAATTAGTTGAATGGTAGTAATGTAATGCTGCCATTATAGATGATTGGTTGTTGGCATGTGGTGCAGCTATAAAACATCTATTTTCTACCAAAACAATTACCCAGAAAACTGACCGACTTCGGTTGAAAACGTTCATTTTATTTTCCAGAAAATCAAATTTACCGACCGACTTCGGTCGAAAGTTTTTATTTTAAATTTTAATTATTCAAATAATAACGACCGATTTCGATCGGAATTTACAATTTTAAATAAAAATGAATAATTATATATTTTAACTATATCGACAGATTTCGGTCGGAAAATTGGATAATTTTAAAAAAATGAATATTAAAATTCCGACCGAATTTGATCGTTAATTTAAAAATAATTAAAAATTACTTTTAACAATACCGATCAAATTCGGTCGGTAAAATTAATTTGTGTCAAACAACTTGGTCAAACTGTGTTGACAGTTACCGACCGACTTCGGTCGAAAAATAGTGACCGAATGCGGTCGCTCCCCATTTACGACCATTATTTTATCGATTAATTGAAAATGATCGGAAATTGGTCAGTTTTGTTTTGGATTTTGACCGATTTCAGTCGAGTTTTTTGGACGGTTTTTAGTAGTGAGGCATGCAATAGATTTGTCTCCTACCCTCTTGTTCGTTTTACGTGCACTAGTAGTTAGGGGTGTACATAGACCGTGTTGGTTCGAATTTTTCAAATACCAAACCAACTCAACAATGTCGGGTTTTTAAATCGACTAACCAAATCAAACCAATAAAAGTCGGGTTTTTCGACCTCAGATTTTTTGAGATTTTCGAAATACTTATGGAATTTTTTAATACAAAATATAACCTTTACATTAAATATTTCTTTAGTCCTAGTAAGACACAACTATATAATTAAGGTGTTTCTTAATAAAATAACAAAAAAGTGAAATGAGTTATAACAATGTAATAAAATATTCAAGAAAAAAGATAATAAAATAGCATAAAATAAATATTGCTAACTAATAAGGAATAGTAAAAATGATCATCATTTAAAAATACTAAGTCATACTTAAATAAGTTCAGCTAATAAGTATTAATTAGATGACAAAGAAAAGAAAATAAAATTAAATTATGCATTTTTATTGTTTAAAATTAACAACGCAAAACTAAAGTATAGATATCCAATATTTTTGTTATTCTTAGTGTAAGGATTAAATTACTTTTGTTAGCTTTAGTGTTAATTTTGGTTTTGGTATTGACTTTATTTGAGCTGCTAGTATCTATGGACTATAAAACTTATTGGAATATTCAAAATTTTAAGTCCAAACTTGAAATAATATGTTAAAAGAAAAGAATGATAAAAAAACTTAAGAGATATTTATAAATTATATTATAAGTAAAGCTTTTATGTATAAAATATTTTTAAAAATTTGTATGCATATAATATCTGATTGGTTTGGTTCGATTTGACTTTTTTAAGTTAAAACCAAATCAATTATAGTCAGAATTTTTTTCTTTCAATTGCAAACCAAGTCAAACCAAACCACTAGTCGGATTTTTTCTCGATTTAATTCGGATTATCCATTTGGTTTGGTTTATCAGTGTTCTTTGTACAC